CTTCATGGAAGACTAATAGGTAAGTCATAGATAAAAATCTTTTTTTTTAAAGATTGAAAAATATAGTTTATTTGGAAATGAGAGAGAGAGAGAAGAGAGAGAAGATTCACCTCCCCAAGGTAGGGGAGAGGGGCCAATGCTAAGAAAACATGGCCAGCCGGGCTCAGTGGCTCAGCCTGTAATCCCGCACCTTGGGAGGCTGAGGCGAGTGGACTGCCTGAGCCTGTGGGTTCGAGACCTGCCTGGGCAACTTGGTGAGACCTCATCTCTACAATAAATCAAAAAATTAGCCGGGCATGGTAGCGCACGCCTGTAGTTCCAGCTACTGGAAGGCTGAGGCGGAAGGATTGCCGGAGCCCAGCAGGTGGAGGCTGCGGTGGCCAGGAGGGGCCACTGCACTCCAGTCTGGGAGACAGAGTGAGACTCCAACTCAAAAAAAAAAAAGAAAAGAAAAGAAAAGAAAACATGGCAGACACAGCTCACAAAGTAAATGGCCAAACCATAAGCTTAGCAGAGGCAATGGCTGATAAAAATCTTAATCCTGCTATCTATTCTACAGATGCCAGGTTAAGTACCAATTCTACTCTCTGGCATCTTTTATCATGCCAGGTAATATAAACTCTTTCCTTTTGAATTTCTAAGGCAATGACTTCTTCCATGTTCTGTTGATATTTAATTTTTCTTTATTAGGCAATGGTACTATACTGTGGTAAAAGAATAGAGTACGCATCATCAAAATACTCATCAACATACTCCCAAGTGAGATCTAGATTTTGAAGGCAATAGATCTGGGAGTGAATCATAGCTATTATTAGTTTTGTTATCTGAGTCTACTTCATCATATGTAAACAGGGATACTGCTACATATTTTATGAGACTACAGCAAGGCTTAAATAAATAAATAAACAGATACCTAAATAAATATATACTTAAAAGCTGTGTGAACTTTTATAAGGAAAAAATATCACAGTGCTATGAGAAGGTGACAGCCATCTAAAGAATAGAGGAAATGAATACTCTAAGAAAGAACAGAAAGAGCAGAGAATAAGGAAATAATCTGGTGAAGTCAAGGATATGAAAGAAGGTCTGTATGATTAGAGTTTAAGGAGCAAAGGAAAGAGTGGAGGGTATGAAGTGAAATCACATGTACTGTGCTGTGTACAATCACAAAGGGCCTTGCAGGCCCTACTGAAAGGTTTAGATTTAATTCAGAGCACAATAGAAAATGTTTTAAAGGGAAATGATACAACCCAATCTTTGTATTTAAAATGATCATTTTGCCTGGTGAACAGAGAATGGATTGGGAAAAATTACAAAGGAAGTAAGAAGACCTATTAGGGGGCTATTAGAGTAAAGGTAAGGGATGGTGGTTTGCGCCTGACTTGGGCTAGGTTAGTGACTGAAAGACTGTGAAAGGGAAAGGAGTCAAGGATGATTCCTAGGCTCCTAGCTAAACCATGAATGGAGATGCCATTTATTAAGATAACAAAAGAATTAAGTTTGAAACACCAGTGAGAAATACAGCTGGGGAAATAAAATAGGACAAATAATTCTGGTGTTCAGGAAATGCTTGGAAGGAAGATACATATATGAGAGTAGTCAACATAAGGAACTAACCCTGGAATAAAGACTTACTAAATAGTAGTTATTTGAATAAAGAAACAAAAAAGAATGCAGATTCTCTTTGATAGAGAAATGCTCCATCAATACTCGAACAGTTGAAAATATTAAAGACAAGAGAAGAAAAACAATATTAATTGGAGAGTTTCATACAGAAGAGAAGTATAGAAATCACAAAAAGGAAGGAAGGAGCGAGGGAGTAAAATATAATCTGAGAGGAAAATTCCTGGGCCCATTTAGTGACTAGGCTAGGAAAAGGGCAGCCCATCTTGCCAACTATCAGTGGAGGTATATCTAGTGCATACAGAGGTTAGCCGGGAGTCACTAACTATAAATATGGTAAAATGAACTATCCTTGTTCTGTTCTATGCTCATCAAGCTTTAGAGCAGGCCTTCCTTCTCCTATCAACCAATTTCTACTACTATACAAATAACCTGGTATTTCTGCCTGGGTACCAAAAGATTCTTTCTTGATAAACAATAACTAGAATATGCCTGAATTCTGGCCATTCTGAGTTAATTTTCCCTATATTAACATACAGATTCTTTATTTATAATCTCTTTTTTTTTTTGAGTCAGGATTTCACTCTGTCACTCAGGCTAGAGTGCAGTAGAACCATCAGGGCTCACTGCTGCCTCAACCTCCTGGGATCATGTGATGCTCCTGCCTCAGCTTCCCGAGTAGCCGGGACTACAGGTGCGCACTACCATACCTACTAACTTAAAAAAATTGTTTTTGTGGCGACTAGGTCTTGATTTGTTGCCCAGGATGATCTAGAACTTGTGGGCTCAAGCAATCCTCCTGCTAGGATTACAGGCATGAGCCACCATGTCTAGACTTTTTTTTTTTTAATTTCAAGGAAGTTTTCTTGAATGCACTGAATTGTAATTTCAAATCTTTATTCTCCTCTTTTTAAAAAGGCTTTCTTTTTTCAGAAAGTCTAATTATGTATATGACACATAGACACAGTGGCCCCACCCTCCACTACTAACATTTTCTTTCTAATCTTTTTAATTTTGAAGGTTAGTTTTATTTTATGATTTATTTACTTATGATTCATTTATTTTACTTTATGTCTCATTTTGTCACCCAGGTAGGAGTGCAATGGCATAATCATGGCTCACTGCAGTCATGACCTCCTGGGTTCAAGTGATCTTGCACCCAGCTAATTTTTTAATTTTTTATAGAGATAAGGTCTTGCTATGCTGTCCAGGCTGGTCTAGAACTCATGGACTCAAGCAATCCTCTCACCTCGGCCTCCCAAAGTGCTGGGATTTTAGGCATGAGCTACTATGTTCAGACTTCTTTCTAATTTTTTTTAGTCTCCTTACATTTCCTTTTGTTTACTTGTTCTATTGTGTCTTCTATGTCCTCTATTGATTTTTCTGCAGTGTCTCTTTGCCTTTGTGTTCCAATTTCATGAACCGATTTTTCTTTTCTGGGTTCTGCTAGCTTAAAATTAATCTCTTTTGGTTGTTAAGCCATCTTTTCCCACAGTTCTTCTATTTCTATCTTGTGGACTTCTTTCAAAATGAATGCATAAATTGCTAAAAACTTTAAGGTTAAATTTTCACCTGATTTGTGTCAAATGTTCTTATTTGTATAGATGTGTCTATGCGACTAATCTTGCCAACCTTTGCTGCCTTTTTCTCCACCTCTTCTTATTAATATCTTTGTATTAATGCTAGGCTAGTTACTTTTAAATTACTTATTACTGAATGAGCTGGATTTTGCTGGACCAGCTATTTGCAGAAGGCTCGGAGGTACAGGGGGGATAGATGCGCAGGCAATTTTTACAGGCTTTAAAATAAAAAGACTGTCATATTCTCTGATCCCACAGAGGCAGACTGCTCTACCCAAATATGGGTCCTCTGCTTCTCTAAACCAAACCACATCATGAATGTCTTCTGCTCCAACTTGTTTACCCCAATTCCCATGAGCCTTATGAAAAAAACCAAGAGACTGTTTTTATACCTCAAAAATGAGCCCCTCATTTTTATTAAGTGCAATTTTGTATCATATTCTAAATTTTCACCACCACTAAACATTCTACATTCTATATTTTAACTCTTCTCTTTCATGTGGATTCTGCCAGATCTCAGATACTTAAGCAGCCCTCACTTATATTTTGTTGTTCAGTGAACTTTTGTGTGTTTTCTGGGGAGGTTTGGGATCAGATATTGACTTACCTTTAATCATGCCTAAGAAGTCTATATTTCTTATAAACATACAATGAGAGGCTGTTTATAATACTAAGCAACCAGAGACTGCAATCTGGCCCTCATATAGTGCACCTATAGAATGGGAATGTGTTGGCTAGAAGATAAAAGCATGTGGGGTCCCACTGGCAGATTTGTTTCCCACAAAAATTAAAATCTGACTTCATATGTTAGTGCCTATTTAAGTGGTTAATGTGAATTTTATTGGAATTTACCCCTTATATAAACGAATTTTCCCTTGTTCAGTTACTGAGCATAAAAGGCTAATGTTTACTAGACCAACGGAACCTACTACTTAGGAAATATCAAGAAATGCCCAGCATATCACTTAGATCAGCTAAAAACATCAGGTGTTGTTCCAAAAATAAATTTCATTCTAAGAATAATAAATGTAATAGTTTCTAAGTTATAGAATGTTTCACTTAGTTCCCTTAGTCACATAATTTTTTTCCTTCTTCGTCATGTTGTTTATGAATAACAACAAGTAAGCTATGTACTCTTTTGGGTGTTTAAGCTTTTAAATTCCACTGAGCTTTTGTTCGGGAAATGGTTATGTCAATGTATCCTAGAGTCATATATGCTCAATATGAAATGATCTCAAATTTTTCATTATCACTTTCTTTTCCTAGGAACTCAGTCAGGACATGTCCGTGATACTTTACTACTTGTGATACATTACATCCTAGACTTGGCATTCTTCTCTTTATTTTAAATAGCAACAATAGCTATTAGATACGTATCTTAAAACTTAATATTAATAAATGAAACCTAATTCAAAGGCTAGAAAAATTTGGGTGACTTAATTTTCCTTGGTAATATTATTCTCTTTGCTTATGGTTTTTTTAATCATTCTTTCAGATCAATGAGCTAGTAAAAGGGATGCTAAAAGGTATATAATTGGGATAGAGACCAGATTTGAAAAAAATAAACACTTGAAAACTAATCTACATAATGGTGTAATGTTCAAAAAAACTGATAGATATCAGATCCTACTTCTATTAAATAATTCTTTTGACCTGAAAAGCGAGTTAGATTCTGACTAAGCAAATTCTAGATTAACAAATCAGAACAAAACACAAAAAAGGAAGTTAAGCTTGGCAGTTAAACATTATTTAAGAGGAAGAATTTTAAATAACCATACACAGCAAGAATTTTATTACCTTCAGGTCGATATTGTGCAACAATTGTGACAGCCTGGCCAGCATTTTTCAATGCGGCTGCTGCCTGCTCATGACTGGCAGCTCTGAGGTCAACACTGTTTACCTGTAAATCAAACCAAATCTTAATTTGAGAGAAAATAATGACTCTGAATGGAAATCACAATAGCCTATTCTTTGAGTATAGATTTAAAAAGCAAACACTAGTTGCAATAACTTTGTCACTAAAATGCTTGTTCTGATTTACTAAAAATAAATTGTGCAGTAAAATAAAATATTACCTATGACTCAAAGAAATTTTAATTTATTAAAAATACTTTGCTTTTCAGCCACAGCCTTGGACCCTGTAGATGCTGTGATGTTGATGCCCAAGAAGAACCGGATTGCTATCCATGAACTCCCTTTTAAGGAGGGAGTGATGGTAGCCAAGAATGACGTCCGTATGCCTAAGCACCCAGAGCTGGCCATGCAGTCTCTCAAGTCTCGAGGCTACGCGAAGGAACAGTTTGCCTGGAGATATTTCTACTGGTACCTTACCAACGAGGGTATCCAGTATCTATGTGATTACCTCCACTTGCCCCCTGAGATTGTGCCAGTCACCTTGTGCCGCAGCCATCCAGAGACTGGCAGACCTCAGTCCAAAGGTCAGGAGGGTGAACTACCTGCAGGTCTCACAAGAGGGAAAGCTGAAACAGACACCTACAGATAGAGTGCTGTGCCCTTTGGTGCTGACAAGAAAGAAAAGACTAGGGTTGGGTCAGCAACTGAATTCCAGTTTAGAGATGGATGTGGTCATGAACATGGTCAGCCTCCTCCGTAAAATTGGAGGGGATTATTTTATGTGGAATAAACGTGTAGCCAGAAAAAAAAAATGTGCTTAATGTCAAGTGAGCAAAACCAAAACCTTGTCCCTCAGATGGTTTCCAGAAGGTTGGCTATCAATCCATTGAAAAATGTGCCTTAATTTGACAACTTGAAAAATCAAGTGCCATCATTTTTCACATTTCATCTTCCTAGAAACTCAAGCAGTGGGAGGGAAATTCATTTTGCTTGTAGTAAACATTCACCTCCTGTCACAGTCTTACCTCTACTGCTCAACTCAGTTCCAATGATTTTCTTTCCTTTCATAAACTAAAGCTTCCATTCCTTTTGTGTAAAAGGAGAGCAATTTTATTTAAAAGCATTAAAATAGCTTAGGTTCAAGGAACAATTTAAATAGAATACATGTTAATTAAATGAACCAGGAGACATTTTTGAATAATGTTCTTCTTTGGGTGAAATAATCACTGAAGTGACCAAACTTAATCCAGAAGAAGAGGCATCTTAATTCTTATGTCTGAACGGTTATCAATACTTAATATATACTGCAATGTACCTTATCTTAATACTTATTTAGAAAAAAAAAAAAGTACAGCTCGCTGCTGCACTCATTCAGTTTTACATAAACATGCTCTTTGAGGCCAAAGCAGATCTGACTGGTTTTCAGGGTGAAAATAAAATATAAAGATGGTTTTTTTTTTTTTTTGAGTTGGAGTCTCACTCTGTCACCCAGACAGGAGTGCGGTGGCAGCTCCCGGCCACCGCAGCCTTGACCTGCTGGGCTCCGGCCATCCTTCCGCCTCAGCCTTCCGAGTAGCCGGAATTACAGGCGTGCGCTACCACGCCCGGTTAATTTTTTGATTTTATTGTAGAGATGAGGTCTCGCCTGCCCAGGCGGGTCTCGAACCCACGGGCTCAGGCAATACACTCACCTCAGCCTCCCAAAGGCACGGGATTACAGGCTGAGCCACCGAGCCCGGCTTAAAGATGGTTTTTAGAGTCATTTTAAAACAGAATTTGTCTCTAATCCTAAAGGGAATTACTAAACAAAAAAATAAAAGGAAAAAAAGAAAAAGATAATTACTATATTTTATAATTCTTTTCTTTCTTTCTTCTTCTTTTTTTTAAATCTTGGGGATCAAAGTTTCGGCCACAAGCACCAAGCACCATTGGCCAAATATCTTTGGGTTAAACTGGGAAAGGGTTAAGAGATTGTTCCTTTTTCACTATAAGACAAACTTAAGAGGACACTTATGAAAGCATTTGACTGCAATATACGTTAAATATTTAATTTTTTAAAAATTAAGAACCAGCAATGGATAGAATAAAATAATGTTCAGGACCTTCAAAAAAAATTTTTTTGGAAGACAAACCATCATGCAATTTTTATAAGAAAACCTTTTTGGTTGAGATCTAAAATCTGTGAAAGACCATATATCGCTTTTTAAAAATTTGATTATGAGTGCAGAAAATCTTGGGATCATAAAATTTACATAAAGTACATTTTACCCATGTAAAGAATTGATGTTTTATATTATCTGTAAAAGGAACCATTATGTAATTAAACACACAGACCCCTTGAATAAAAACCAAAATCTAAAAATCCTAATCCGAACAAAAATAGCATAATATGGTTGTTAGAGAATATCTCTAGCAGATGATGGTCATAAAAAACTAAATACAATGTATAAATAGTTCCAGTAGTGCATAAAAAAATTTCTTCTAATTTTCCCAGGAGAATAAATTAGGGAAGAAACATAAAGGAAGACAAACTTTCACAGATTATAGAAAAGATTAAAATTGTTTATAAATTATTCCTATGCATCAAATCCTTCTGTCACATAAAATAGTTGAAGACAAACTATGAAGACTCAAAAGAGCATAATTTATTGAACAAAACTAAAAATTAAAGACTGATATATCTTCTATTGAGATATCACTGAACATCTCAATAGAACCTTGAAACATTATGTATTATGTATCAGTATTTTATTTCTTATTAAGGCTGAAAAATACTCCATTAAAATCCATTAAAAATGGATCTACCATTTTTGTTTATCCACTTTCTTAAATTTATACCTATTTTATTCTTTTGACACTAATGTAAACAATTGTTTTCTTAATTTCACTGTATAGAGCTTCTTTAACCTGTAACTTTGTTGAACTCGTTTATTAGCTCGAATAGCTTATTGTTGTTATATTTCTTAAGATTTTCTACATACAAAATTATATAATTGCAAATAGAAATTGCTTGTTTTCTTCCTTTTTGCTTTGGAAGCCTTTTGTTTCTTTTTCTTGCCTAACTGCTAGAACCTCCAGAATAACATTGAGGAGGCTCTACGGAAGTAGAAGAATGAACATACTTGTCTTGTTCCTCATTTTTGAGGGGAAGCTTCCAGTGTTCTACCATTTAGTATGATATCATTTATCATTTTTTCAGAGATAACCCTTATCAAATTAAGAAAATTCCCTTCTATTTCTAACTTATTAAGTGTTTTTTATCATGAAAAGTTGTTGGTTTATGTCAACTGCTTTTTCTGTGCCTACTGAGATATCATGTGCTTTATGTCTTTTATTAAGATGGTGTTTTGCTTTTCTGGTTTTTTGGTTGAATCAACATGCATTCTTTGGATAAATTCTACTTGATCATGGTATATAATCTTTTTCATGCTACTGAATCCAGTTTGTTATTTTGTTGAGAATTTTTACATCTATACTCATATGGGACATTGATTTGAAATTTTCTTGTGATGTCTTTGGTTTGGTATAAGAATAATATTGGACACATGGAAGGAGTTGGGATACATACCTTACTTTTCTTCCTTTTTGGAGAAAAGTCTGTGAATGACTAGTATTAATTCTTCTTTAAATGTTTGGTCAAATGTACCAGTGAAGCCATCTGCTTCTGGACTTTTTCCACTGTTAAAAGTTTTGATAACCAATTCAATTTTCTTTGTTATATAGTTCTATTCAAATTTTCTATTTCTCCTTGAGTCAGTTTCAATAATTTATATCTTGCTAGAAACTTATCAATAATTACATAATATATACAACTATATAAGTAATATAAAATTAATAATACATATATTGTAAATGTCTTTCTTTCTGCCTCTGGTAACATTTTTTTTTTTTTTTTTTTGAGTTGGAGTCTCTGTTGCCCAGACTGGAGTACAGTGGCATGCTCATGGCCACCACAGCCTCAACCTGCTGGGCTCAGGCAACTCTTCTGCCTTAGCCTTCCAAGTAGCTAGAACTGTAGGCACGTGCCACAACTACTGGCTAATTTTTTGATTTACTGTAGAGATGAGGCCTTGCCAAGTTGCCCAGGCTTGTCTCGAACCTGTGGGCTCAGGTAATCCTCTCCCCTCGGCCTCCCAAAATGCTGAGAATATAGGCATGAGCCACTGTACCCAGCCCTCCAGTAACAATTTTTGTCAAGCCTAATTTGGTTATTGTGTAGAACATCTTTTCTAGCCTTTTACTTTCAAAGTATTTGTGTCTTTGAATCTAAAGTGTATCTCTTGTAGACAGCATATAGTTGAATTTTATTAATCTATTCTATCAATATTTGCCTTTTAACTGGAGTGCTTAATCCATTTACATTTAATGAAATTACTTTGATAAGGTAGGATTTATGTCATTCATTTTTTGGTTTGTTTCTTTATGTCTTATGTCTTCTTTGTTTCTATAGTCCTCAATTATTGCTTTTTTGTGTTAAAGAGCTATTTCCTAGTGCACTATTTTTCTCCTGTCATTTATTTTACTACATGTGTTCAGTTATTTTCTTAGTGGTTGCCTTGAGTTATAATCAACATTTTCTAAGAATTTAGTTTGAGCTGGGCTAGGTTGGCTCAGCCTGTAATCCCAGCGCTTTGGGAGGCTGAGGTGAGTGGATTGCCTGAGCCCGCGGGTTTGAGACCCACCTAGGCAACTTGGCGAGACCTCATCTTTACAATAAATCAAAAAATTAGCCGGGCTTGGTAGCATGTGCCTGTAGTTCTAGCTACTTGGAAAGCTGAGGCGGAAGGATTGCTGGAGCCCAGCAGGTTGAGGCTGCAGTGTCCAGGAGAGTGTGCCACTGCACTCCAGTCTGGACGACAGAGTGAGACTCCAACTCAAAAAAAAAAAAAAGAATTTAGTTTGGATTAATACCAGCTTTATTCTCATGGCATATAAAAACTCAGTTCTCTTTATACAGTCATATTACTACAATCTTTATATGTGTGCCCATCAACACAGATTTGTGTTGCTTTGTTCAGTTGTTTTTAATATCAGATTGAAGAAAAA